ATATCAACATGACAGAGCAAGATGAGTATTGCATTTATTTAAATAGTAATGGTGTTCGTGAATGCCTAGAGTTTGAACTTTTGACTTTTAATTTGGGAGAGTCACAATTGTGTCATTTGACTACAATGTCTTTTTAACTTCATTTTTGTTCTTAATTATATTTTATCAAATGTTAAAACAAAACATATAATTATTTAAATTAACTTATAGGGATCAAATTTCAAAAAAAAAAAAAAAAAAAAAAAAAAAAAAAAAAAAAAAAACAATTAGTGAGAATGTACAATCGTTATACCCTACGCCACGGCGCGCGTAGCACTATGCGCCGTGCGCCTCCCAAAACGACATCGTTTTGGGAGGCGCGGTAGGAAGTTGCTGTGATTATGTACATTTTTTATATAATTATGTACATTTTTTTATACAATTATGTACATCCGAATCAGGAAATTTTTGTGTATTATGTTAAGAGTTGATGTGTATTATGTTAAAAGTTTATGTTTATTATGTATTATGTTAGATTATATGTATTATCTTTTAAAAAATAGTATGTATATTTTGTTATACAATTATGTACATTCATGTATACAATTATGTACATTCATGTATAACATTATGTACATTTTTTAACATGAGATTTTTTTTTAAGGAAAATTAACCGTCAAACACTGGATAGCGAAAATTCAAAAAAAAAAAAAAAAAAAAAAAATTGAAACGACGTCGTTTTGCATCTGGACGCACAATGTAACGCGCACCGTGGTGTAGGATATAAATTGTCGAGAATGTATGACCCTTGTACCGAGCCCAATACAGTACAAAAAACCAAACGTTATGGGTCAAGCCCACTCAACGGACCCATCAAATTAAAACAAGACAAACGACATTATTTAGGCAAGTTATATCGTGGACCGCATTATGGACCGAGTTTCTAAACAACGTTATTTTGTTTAATGAAAAGAAATGGCACCCGTTTCGGCGCAAATTATGCCATGGAATCGTATTCACCGAGAATGGTGAACACAAGGCAAAACGACGTCGTTTTTAGGCAAAAAAAAAAAACAAAATTCGCGGATGTGGAGTTAACGGCGCGCGTTTGATCAAATTATGAATTTTCTGTTATGAGATTATGAATTTTATGAAAATTCATAATCTCATAACAGAAAATTCATAATCGCATAACAGAAAATTCATAATCTCACAACTGAAAATTCATAATCTCATAACAGAAAATTCATAATCTTATAACAGAAAATTCATAATCTCATGGTTCCAAAGTGAATGTGTAGGCATGGTTCCAAAGTGAATGTGCAGGCATGGATTCATAATTTATGAATGTCCGTGATTTCGGATGGGAATATGTAGGCATGGTTCCAAAGTGAATGTGCAGGCATGAATTCATAATTTATGAATGTCCGAAATTATGAATGTAATGAAAATTCATAATCTCATAACAGAAAATTCATAATCGCATAACAGAAAATTCATAATCTCATAACTGAAAATTCATAATCTCATAACAGAAAATTCATAATCTTATAACAGAAAATTCATAATCTTATAACAGAAAATTCATAATCTCATGGTTCCAAAGTGAATGTGTAGGCATGGTTCCAAAGTGAATGTGCAGGCATAGATTCATAATTTATGAATGTCCGTGATTTCGGACGAGAATGTGTAGGCATGGTTCCAAAGTGAATGTGCAGGCATGAATTCATAATTTATGAATGTCCGAAATCTTTGTTCACCTCAAATTAAAGTGAAACCACAAAATGTGAAAATAAAGAAGAAAAGTCACGCAATTAATTAAGAGAAAAAAAAAATAAAAAAATAACGGTGTACTAACACCGTTGGAACCGTGTTCACCATGAATGGTGAACACGGTTCCATGGCATAACGTCCCCCGTTTCGCACCGTTTTGCAAAAAATAACTCAGTTATTTATTTTCATTTTGTAACACCGCAGTTTTATTTCGATATAACTACAGTTTCATTCGATATTTATACACTCAAATATGTGAAAATGTTATTTAATTTTATTTTATATACACTATAATTTCATTCAAACACAATTACATTATCATTGCGATATAATTACAGTTTCATTGCACAATATACCCTCAAATATGTGAAATGTTATTCAATTTCATTTTATATACATTGCAGTTTCATTTCAACACAATTACAGTTTCATTTCAATTCAATTGCAATTTCATTTGATAATATAAAAATAATACGTGAAGCAGTGTCAGTTTAGATACGCTATAGTTTCAGTTGGTAATTAATACACTAAACATGCACACTCCGTTAATTGTAACGGCGCGCCGTTTCTGGACCGCGGTCAATAGTATAGTTGCACATTTTAAAATTTGTCGCCTTAGTTTTATAATTATCTGTTTGTTTTATTTCTTATCGATTTTGTACTTTCAGTTCTAAGCTCTGCTTCTACTTGAAATCAAGGACGGAGCCAAAGGGGCAGGGGCAGTTGCCCTCCTCACTCCACCCCCATTCCATATATAATTTTTGTATGTATATATAGTACATGTGTTAGTATTAGTAAAATAAAACTATTAAATGTCAACAAGAGTTGATTTATATGAGTTGGTTGAGCACATGTTGAGTTATGATAAAGGATAGGGGTTTGGATTTTGGCATTAACATAGTTTTATAGTTTGACTTCAACAGTTTTGTTTTTTTACTCATTTCCTATGGTTTCAACACAGTCACGTTTTTAATAGTTTTTTAATATTTAATACACATATATATACAGTGGCGGACCCAGGAATTTTTTTCAGCGGGGGCAAAATATTAAAGCAAAATTGATAATTAGAAAAAAAAAATGAAACACTTAAAAAGTATAGCCATAAATAAATAAATAATGTTGGATATAAGAAAATTATAAAACACATCAAAACATTATAAAAATATTCATAACAAAATATGAACAAAAATAATTCGAATAAAAGATCCATTATAAATTATACATCTCATTATTAATATAATAGTGAAAATGTGAAATAATGAGAAAATGTAGTGTTAATAAGAAAATGAGATGTGTAAAGTAGATAAGGGGATTTGAACCTTGGCATACGTTCAAAGTTCAAACAAACCAACGCTCAGCTAACCAGATAGAGGGGATCGAACCCGGGCATGCATTTTGACAACCCACACGCTTAGCCAACTAGACTAAACTACACTTTGTTAACAATTCTCTATTTTCTAAATTTTATACTAAAACTTATACTATATATACACATATACATACAAGGGTTATATAAGGGGTGGGGGTGGGGTGAGTGGGGGCAGCTGACCCCACTGCCCCCACTGTAGGTCCGCCTCTGTATATATATAACATTCTTTTATATTAATAATGAGATGTGTTTTTTTTAAAAAAAAAAATTATCTCTTTTGTTTTAATGTTTCTAAAAAAAAATTATGAATCCGCCCCTACTTCTTCGCCCCTTAACGGAATTTTTGGCTCTGTCCCAAATTGCTAGTGTAGAGATGTTTTCTGACCCTTAATGCTCTCTTTAAGTTTTTGCCCAAAGTAGATATTTTTATTTTTCTCATGTTGCAGCATAACCTGTCCACGCATATTGTGACTTTAGTATGAACCGAAACAGGGTTCTTGTTGTTGTTGACTACATTTGATCAAGAGTCAAGACTAGAGTGTAAGCTAACCCACAAAGCATTGATGAAATAGTACAATTTACTGTAATGAAGATGGTAGAAACTCATAGAAAAAGTATCCCAACCAACTTCTCCTTTATTAATAATATATAAAAATAAAAACTGATTGTCATGAGAATACCACCAGAACCCTCTTTTCATTAGGGAAAAAGACAAAAATATGCGGTCAATAAGGAAAAATTCCCAAAATGTGTCGTATTTTTTTTGGACAAAAATATGCAAAACTCCATTCGTAGTTGCGTTTTTGATGTATTTCGTATTTTTCTTGTATTCGTGGAAAACGCAAGAGGCAGTTGCGTTTACGTATTTGTATACGTAAAACGCAATAGGCTCTTGCGTTTTTGCGGCAATACCGTATCCCACAATACGCAACTATGTTTTGCGTTTTACGTATTATACGTAAAACGCAAAACCAAGTTGCGTTTTTGTGAAGTATTTGTACTCCTCGTCGCCGGCGAAGTCAAAGACCGGCGAGACATATCCCAAGCGATGGTGGGCTCTAACATATTTCGGATCCAACTTAATAGCTTCCTCGCATTCTCTCACTGCTTCTGTGAACCGCTTTAGACCAATCAATGCCGCTGCACGGTTGCAATGGTAAGCTGCATTTCCAGGCGAAATCGCAATTGCCTTCTCGTAAAGATTCAAAGCCTCATGAAAATTACCCTTCTTGTAATGCTCATTGCCTAGCCTTTTCATCTCCTCCGGATCATTACTCCGCATTCCTCTCTTCATTGTCTCGCCGCCAATCATAATCCTCTAGAATTCATGGCAATGGCGACACTACTGTCCGTACCGCTTACAGGGCCCGCGGTTTTGGGCGCTCCACCGGCCCGCATTATGCTCCCGTGGCTGTAATTCCCCGTGCCGGACCCCAAAACATCTGTCTTGGTGGCCTTGCTGGCCATGCCGGTCTTCAGAATCTTCCCGGAGGGGCAGATATTCCCAATTGCGTTTTAGCGTATTCCCTACGTATTTTGAAAACGCAACTGGTGGTTGCGTTTTTCGTATTCAATACGAAAAACGCAACCACCAGTTGCGTTTTCTGTATTTAACAAAAAAAAAAATACGGATGAAATACGTTCAAAAACGCAACTCTCAATAGAGTTTTGCATATTTCTGTCAAAAAAAAAGTCAATACATATTTTGGCTAATTCCCAAGCTTTTCTACACATTCTAGTCTTTTTCCCCTTTTCATTATATTGTTGATTAATGACGTACCCATCACTTTTCATGCACATTCCAGACTCCCCTTCTATCACTATAAGTATGGTGCCTCCTATGATCTTCTTTCATCAATCAACGACTTATCAAATTAAAATTTTCCATTTCCCATAAAATGTCTCTCATTCCTAGCTTCTTTGGTGGCCAGCGAGCCAACGTCTTTGATCCTCTATCTCTTGATCTCTGGGATCCCTATGAAGGCCTCTTCTCTTCTTCACCGGCGAGGGAAACCTCTGCATTCTCTGCCGTGAGGATTGACTGGAAAGAGACCCCGGAGGCTCACATTTTCAAAGCTGATCTTCCCGGGGTGAAAAAGGAGGAAGTGAAAGTTGAGGTGGAGGATGGGAGGGTTCTTCAGATCACCGGAGAGAGGAGCAAAGAGAAAGAGGATAAGAATGATAAGTGGCACCGCATTGAGCGCAGCATTGGGAAGTTTTTCCGGAGGTTCCGGCTGCCGGAAAATGCGAAGATGGATGAGGTGAAAGCCGGCATGGAAAACGGAGTGCTGACAGTCACCGTGCCCAAAATTGAGGAGAAGAAACCAGAGGTGAAGGCCATTGACATCTCTGGTTAAACTTGTTATTATATATCTTAGATAAAACCATATTAGTACGTACTTTGAATTCCAGAATAAAATAAAACCGTTTGTATGTTGTATGTTTGTGAGTTTCCTTAATCTTTGGGACTGTAATCCTTTCATAATTTTGATTTTATGTTTTTCTCATCCTAATAATATTAAGTGATGGACAAATTGCATCAGGCATATCGGACAGCATGACACAAAGCTAGCCTAAATATTCATTCATTATTCTAATAAAAAAAGAAGGTAAAAAGAATTTGAGGTTTATATAATAAATGTAAAATAAAAATTTAAGCCTAAAAATAAGAATTCGAATTACAATAATATATCTTAAAAAATACTTAGAAAAACAATGAAATAAAATATGATATGGTTGATATTCAACTTCAAACTATCTCTCATTCCACTTAATTAATTAGTCCATCGAACCAGTGTTGGTATCGTTGCTTTCATCAAAACATCTCTTCCACAACCAATGTTTCTTCCACACTCTTTCGTTCATCTCATCAATGGGGATTCCCTTGGTTTCAGGCAGCAAGAACACAACAAACAACCCCATAACCAAAACGAAGGAAGCAAACATGAAGAAGATGGCGGATTTCATTTTGCAAAGCATGGAAAGAAAAGCTTGCGCCACAATAAAAGTGAATATCATATTGGTGCTAACCGCGAAGAAAAATCCTGCCGTTCTGGTCTCCAGTGGATATATTTCACTAGCAACCAACCACCCTAATGGACCCCAAGACCAGGCGAAACCCATCACAAACACACAAATCATCACCAACACAATTACTGCCGCAAACTTTGGTATCATATTTGTAGCTTTGAGATATGCAGCGAGAATTCCCCCTACCACACCCTGGGCTACAAGCATTTGAATGGCACCTTCAATCAGTAACACTCTTCTCCCAAAATAATCAGCACCAAAGATTGCCACAACGGTGGAAAGTGAATTAACTGATCCAGTGATAAGAGTAGACAATAGAGATGCATTTGCTCCTAACCCCATTGTTTGGAACAACACAGGAGCGTAGAACATGACAACGTTAATGCCGGTCAACTGCTGAAATACCTGAAGAATGGTGCCACACAAAAGTTGTGGCCAACTAGAACGCTTAAATAGGTTTCTAAATGGGGTTTTGATCTTTTTAGCCATCTCAGTGGAGCGTAAAATGTCGTTGTACTCTTTCTCTACGTTTTCCATGCCCCTAATCTTCTTTAGCGCTCGCAAACCCTCCTCATTCTTCCCCCGTTCAATCAAACTGGTAGGAGTCTCAACGATTATCAAAGAACCCAAAGCTAGAAAAATGGAAGGAATTGCAGCTACACCGAGAGATACCCTCCAGCCATTGGAGTGTATATATTTAGAAGATAAATAGTTGACAATATTGGCAAAGAAAATGCCTATTGTGATCAAGAATTGAAAAAGAACATTGAGAAGTCCTCTTTTGTTTGAAGGAGCAATTTCCGATATGAATAGTGGCACTGCCTGCAAGAATGTATTAATTATATATCGTAAAATTAAAGTTCAAAGCTAGATTACAAATGTAGAACAATAATATATTGTATAAATTAGAGAATAAATAAATACCTGGTTGCCAAAACCGACACCAGCACCGAGAAAGAGGCGTCCGAAGATGAGCATCATAAGGTTAACAGCTGTGGTGTTGAGAACAACTCCGATGATGAAAAAGATAGAAGCAAGTTGAATGGTTAGTTTCCTACCGTACCGCTTGCAACAATGAGAAGCAAAGAAACTGGCGACGATAGCAGCAAGGTAGAGTGAAGATGTGAAAAGCTGAAGCATCTGGTTGTTAAATTTGCAATAATTATCTTCATGAATCATGTGTTTCTTCACGTACACTGCAGGAAAGAATTTTTCCAGAAATTCGTCCATTGAAGTCACTCCACCAGCAACAAATCAAAGAGAAATAATTTAGTTAAACCAAGAACTAGAGGAATGAATAGTTACAAGATAAATTAATGGATGTGAGTAAGTAGTATAGCGTACCAGAAATTCCAATATCATAGCCAAACATTAGACCAGCAAAGGCTGCTATGACAGAGCAGATTATTACTTGTCCAGTGAGTTTTGCCGGAACATCATATCCATTACCCTTCTCTAAAGACATGATTTGGGCGACCATTGTTACGAATTTGGAAAATCTGATCTACGTTGTCTACTACCAAACTACAATCAATCAAGAACTGCTCAAAAGTCAAGATTATATGGAGAATGAAGAGAGCTGTGGGTTGAGGATGATGGAATGGCGAATAAGTATCCCTTTTTATAGGTGTATTACATCCATGTTCGTATAGAAATGGGATATTTTTTTAATCGAATTCGACTCAATTTGGGATTTTGGGTAGTACGCCGCAGGGCAATACGACAGTCATAGTAAAATTAGGAATTAGGATTATGAAAAAATTCAAAATTTTCATAGCTTAAATCAGATATAAGTCTTAATCACTAATCAATTGCATAATTTTATCTTCAAATAATCGATATATTTCAGGGCAATTGAAAATTACACAGCAGTAAATATAACTGATGGAGAAGCACAAATAATCCACTGATTTCGAAAAAAGAAGCATAAACCCTAGTTCATGAAGCTCCTATCCACCAAATCCGTACAAAGTCCTTGCCTACCTCTTCAGCGCGTAAACCACGTCCATCGCCGTAACGGTCTTTCTCCGGGCGTGCTCCGTGTAGGCTTCCCAGGCCAATGCCATTTCTTCTAAGCTTGATTTCTCCGACTGGATTCGAGTTGAAGCTGTCGGCTTTAGTGGTGGCATCTGGGTTTTTTGGATGGACCCGGTGCAGATCACACCCCTTTTCACTCACCCCCAGTTTATGCTTTTGCAGGTAAAGGTGGCCGGCCAGCCTCCTTGGTTATTTGCTCCACAGTCTATGGAAGCCCCGCCCAACACCTCCGCCGCGGTCTTTGGAGGGATCTCAGTCATAATGAGAGAAGCATTGATGGTCTTTGACTGGTAACTCGGTTCTTAACCGGGAAGAGACGACCAACTACAGTTCCTTTTCTTCTCACCGAAACTCTAATTTTGCAAGTTGGATTCGGCAAATTATATGGTGCACACGGTTGCAAAAACAACGTCATTTTGATTAAAAACGCGTTTCTCACTAAAAAAAAATGATAATTTCGATTCTCCTCAATAGCATTATGTTGTCATAATTTGAACTATATATCCCTAATGAATGAACTAAATATTCAGAATGAATGAACCATATGTAAAAATGTTGTAATCTCAAAATGAGAAAAGTGACAAAGGGTTTATATATAATTTTTTATAAATTGTGTAAGTTGTTCAACATTTGCTATTTCTTATTTTTAAAATGTGATATTTTTATATACAGTAAAATCGTTTTTCTTATCCATCTTTATGTGTTGGATACTTAGATTATATTCAACCGGACCGGTTTAATTAGTCAATTGTGAGGTATATATTTATATTAGAATATATTAGAATAAGTACGTAACTATGTCACGAATATAATGGAGGTATTTGGCAAATAGTTGTTAGCTGATAACATTAACGAGTTGTAGAAAAATATTTGGTAAATTAGCTATTAGCTAATAGTTTTTTTGTTTTTTTTTTTGAAAACCAAGTTAATTGGCATATATTAGAGAAAAGCTGAAATAGCATCCGGTGAAAAATCATCCCAGTACATAGCAGTAGACTGATTAAAAGCTATACTCGCTAAAGAATGAGCTAGCAGATTATTCGCTCTAGGGACGAATGTAACTAAACAGTAATCGAAATAAGAAATTAAAGTCCTACAACTATCTATGGCATAGCCAACATAGGACCGAATAGGGTCCGTAGTAGTTGATAAATAACGATGTAGCTGCTGGCAATCTGTGTGCAGCACAAACGTTTGCTCTCCCCGATTCCTCATCCACGATAAAGCTTCCTTACATGCAAACGATTCTGCCATCAAAGGGGAAAAGCAATCTGGTAGCTCGGCATTGAAGGCTGCTCGAAAGGCTCCGGAGCTAATAGTTGATTACATGCAAAATGACATTTTTAAGAGTATAAATTATTTTCTCAAAAAAATTATTAAAAAAGTTGCTTTGAGCAGCTTTTTGAATTTTAGTGTTTTGAAATAATAAGTTGTTATGAAAAATTGATTAATCAAACACTCATATTGGCTGTTTAACCAAGTCAAATAACTAATAGTTGTCAAACAAGACAAAATTGAATGATAAGCTAACTATATTACCAATAATCAAATAGGGCAACATGTTAAGTGGGCCAAATAATACCTGAATATGTATTGTGTTAAGCAACATGTGGCTAGGATAATATTCAAATATTATTTGTTCTATTTGTGCTCCTATAGACTAGTTATGATTGAATAGTGGTCACAACTTCTCACTATTTGCTCTCCTTTATGTACTATATGTAGGCTGTATTTCACATCAATAATGACAATTGATTAATGCTCACATAACCTTTACATATGGTTGGTAATATCATAATTTTGTGTTTAAAATATCTCCGAGTGCAATTTTCAGTAGCTAAAGTAGCATAATAACAATACATAACATAGGAGATTTGATTCGAGTACATTGTGATTTGTGAAGACTTGTTATTTATACATGCGCTTCCACTAAATTAAATAACATTTTCACATTTTGAGTCTATAAATATCGGATGAAACTATAGTTATATTGAAATGAAACTATAATTGTTTTGAACTGAAACTGCAGTATATACAACATGAAACTGAATAACAGAGTTACTTTTTGCGGAACGACGAGAAACGGATGCCGTTTCTTTTCATTAAAAAAAAACGACGTCGTTTTGATGCGCGGTGCATAATCGATTATGCACCGGGGTGCACGATATAATTTGCCCATTATTTACATTCAAACCCAATCATTGAACAATGACGTTTCTCTTACAAGGCGTGTGGTTGAATGTAATTTGGTTGTAATTAAATTGTAATTCAATGAAAATCTCAATTGTAATTTTCTCCTTTTGTTGAATTGCAATTCATGGGTACCCCATGAATTGCAATTCAATACTTATGGGAAAGGAAAAAATTGAAGAAATGACAAAAAAACCTTGTTGATTGTTATTATTATTATTATTACACAATGAAATTTTAGACTCTATACAATTTTTTCCTTCTCATCTCCAATAATTCTATTCCTCCATACCAAACAATGTAATTTGAATTCCTACATTATCCCTACCTTATTATTTTCTCACGGAATTGAATGAGGAAATTTCAATTTTGGTCCTACGACAATAGGGGTCTTGTTAATTTAAATCTCTGATTTTCAAAAGTGTCAATTTAGTACCTTAATTATGTAATTTTTGTCAATTTTAATCACTCCGGCCAAATTTTGCCGGAAAATTTTAATAGTTAAAATAATGAGGATATTTTAGTAATTTTACATGTTTAATCTTTCTTCTCCAACGGTCCATCTCTTATACCCAGCTTTCGGCGATCATTTCTTCCTCCGTTCTTGAAGCTGTTGCCGTCGTCCTTCATCTCCCCCTGTTTCGGATGAGTTGGTCCTCTCTTATTTCCAAAGCCAATAACGGCAGTGACAAAGCGGCGGTGGCATACAGTTCAAGAAACCAAACAAAAAAAAAAAAAAAAAAAAAAAAAAAAAACAACCAGACAACAAATTATGAGCAACGACAACCTTGATTTACTTCTCCGGTGAGCTTTTACACCATCCAAACACCCTTATTTGCAGCACCTTGAAGAAGCTCATTTGGATGTCAACGACGGCTCACACAACCTCCAAATCCAGAGGGTTTTCTCTACAAGCTCTGTAATTGAACAAAATGACGAAAGTTTCGAGATGGGTTTGTAAAGCGCTAGCCGCATAAGGATTAAGACTGTATGTGAACGTGGGGAGGGAACCAAAGAGGAATGGAAGGTGGATGTCAGTGTCGTTCACGCATCTGGTGATGATTGATACGATGGTGATGGATTCGGATCTGATGAACATGGTGAAGTCTGATTTGGAAGGGTTTCTCAAGTCGAAGCAGTATTATCAACGGCTAGGCCAGGTCTGGAAACGGAGTTACCTGCTTTACGATACCTACAACACCGCAAAATCGACATTCGTCGCGGCAGTGAGGAAGTTTCTTGGCTATGACGACGTTTTCCAGTATTGCCGGAAGTTGGGGATAATAGATGGATCGTCGGAGAAGAAAGAATAAACAAGTAAAATGATTAAAATATCCTCATTATTTTAACTATTAAAAATTTCGGTGAAATTTGGTCGGCAATTTGACCGGAGTAACCAAAATTGACAAAAATTACATAGTTAAGGTACTAAATTGATACTTTTAAAAGTCAAGGAATGAAATTAACAGGACCCTATAGTCGTATGACCAAAATTGAAATTTCCTCCATATTGAATTTATATTGTCATATGAAACTGTAATTAAATTATAATGATACTTTGATAGTATTGTAATGAAACTATAATGTGTATAATTAAAATAAAATTGAATAATGAGAAAAGTTATTACATGGAATGTCTCACATAAAACACCTAATACTTTTTATAAATTAAAAAAAATTAAAATTTAGTTAAAAGTTCTTATACGTTTGAGTGTCTTGTAAGATAGTCTCGCATAATACATATTTTAATTTTTCATTAAAAAAAGAAAGGAATAACCGTCAAATAGGTAATCGAAATGCATACGATAATACAATTAGGCCACTGAACATAAAAATCCAACAATTGGGTCTCTAAACTAACCAATTTCAAACAATTCTTCAAATTTGCAGGTTTCCAACAGGTCATCCTCCCAAATTATTTTTTTTTTTTAAGTAAAGTTTAAAAATTAATTATTTTAATTTTTTTTTTTAAAAAAACAAGACTTCAAATGGAGATCCGACCGGTTTCTTGTCTCCATGGCCGGAGACGAAGAATTTTTTCTTTTCCCTGGTTGGAGATGAAGAAATTCTTCGTCTCCGGTCGTGGAGACAATTGAAGCATGTGCTCCATCTCAACTAAAAGACTAAACTGATAGTTGGATTGCACATTAATGCAGTTATATTGATGAAGACATCTACATGCGCCAACCATCAGGCTAGGTGAATCCCAATTTTCCTGATCATGTGTGTAAATTTAAATTGGAAGAATTGTTTAAACTTAAATTTAAAATTTTCGTCTCCGGCCGAAGTCTTTTTTTTTTTTTTAATTTTTTATTTATTTATATATTTTAAAATTTAAATAATTAATTTGAGAGGATAACTGGTTGACGTGTTGACAACTTTTAAATTAGAAGAATTATTTAAAATTGGTTAGGGATCTAATTATTGATTTTTTAAATTCAGTGGCCTAATTGCATTATCGTGTGCAATTCAATGACCTATTTAATCCTTATTCAAAAAAAAAAAAAATACTCCATAACTTTTAAGCTGTTAGCCAATTTAGTTTGCCACATTACCCTCCAAAATTCATGCATTTCAATTCCGGCATTGCCCTCCCGCTATTCAAAAGTTTCCAAAATTTTGATTTGAAATCACAATTTCACACGGAAAATGGACATTTCGCGCCTTCTCACAATAAATCACTTGCAATCGTGGATTCATCTAAATCCAACGACTCAAATACAGCTTCAGCCCTACTGTCGGATCGCCATTATTAACCGTTGATTAAGCACGTAAAACGAACGCTCACGATTAAACCCCCGCCCACATTTAAAATCCCAAACTCCAGTTGCCGAAGTATAAAGTACCCCGGCGACTCTATCAACCATCACCAATTCTTCAATCTTCCAATCGAAACCCTAGAAAGCTTTTCTCATCAAATTTCTCAGTGCGAAAATGTCAGGCCGTGGAAAGGGAGGCAAGGGCTTGGGTAAGGGAGGAGCCAAGCGTCACAGGAAGGTCCTCCGCGACAACATCCAGGGCATCACCAAGCCCGCCATCCGCCGTCTGGCTCGCAGAGGCGGCGTGAAGCGTATCTCCGGCCTCATCTACGAGGAGACCAGAGGCGTCCTCAAGATCTTCCTCGAAAACGTGATTAGAGATGCGGTGACCTACACGGAGCACGCCCGGAGAAAGACCGTTACGGCGATGGACGTGGTTTACGCGCTCAAGAGGCAGGGAAGGACTTTGTACGGATTTGGTGGTTAGGAGCTTCATAAACTAGGGTTTATGCTTCTTTTCTGAAATCAGTGGATTATTTGTGCTTCTGCATTAGTTCTATTTACTACTGTGTAATTCTCAATTGCGCTGAAATATATCGATTAATTGAAGATAAAATTATGCAATTGTTTTGCACTTTGCGCTGTGGATTGGGTGTTCTACGAGAATTGGGCATTACGATTGATTAGTGATTAATACTTATCTCTGATTTAAGCTATGAAAATTTTGAATATTTTCTTAATCCTAATTTAACTATGAGTGTAGTATTGCTCTGCGGGCGTACTGCTCAAAATCCCAAATTGAGTTAAATTTGATTAAAAAATATCCCATTTCTATACGGACATGGATGTAATACACACCTATAAAAAGGGATACTTATTCCCCATTCCATCATCCCCTCAACCCACAGCCCTCTTCAATCTCCATATAATCTTAGACTCGAACAATACTTGATAGATTGTAGTTTGGTAGTAGACAACGTAGAAGATCAGATATTCCAAATTCGTAACAATGGTTGCCCAAATGATGTCTTTAGAGAAGGGTAATGGATATGATGTTCCGGCAAAACTCACTGGACAAGTAATAATCTGCTCAATCATAGCTGCCTTTGCTGGTTTAATGTTTGGCTATGATATTGGAATTTCTGGTACGTTATGCTACTTACTCACATCCATTAATTTTTTTTGTAACTATTCATTCCTCTAGTTCCTGGTTTAACGAAATTATTTCTCTTTGATTTGTCGCAGGTGGAGTGACTTCAATGGATGAATTTTTGAAAAAATTCTTTCCTGCAGTGTACGTAAAGAAACACATGGTTCATGAAGATAATTATTGCAAATATGACAATCAGAAGCTTCAACTTTTCACATCTTCACTCTACCTTGCTGCTATCGTCGCCAGTTTCTTTGCTTCTCATTGTTGCAAGCGGTACGGTAGGAAACTAACCATTCAACTCGCTTCTATCTTTTTCATCATCGGAGTTGTTCTCAACACCACAGCCGTTAATCTTATGATGCTCATCTTCGGACGCCTCTTTCTCGGTGCTGGTGTCGGTTTTGGCAACCAGGTATTTATTTATTCTCTAATCTATACAATATATATATATATATATATATACATTATTGTTCTAAATTTGTCATCTAGCTTTGAACTATGATTTTACAATATTAATGCACTGTTTCATTCTTTCAGGCAGTGCCACTATTCATATCAGAAATTGCTCCTTCAAACAAAAGAGGACTTCTCAATGTTCTTTTTCAATTCTTGATCACAATAGGCATTTTCTTTGCCAATATTGTCAACTATTTATCTTCTAAGTATATACGCTCCAATGGCTGGAGGGTATCTCTCGGTGTAGCTGCAATTCCTTCCATTTTTCTAGCTTTGGGTTCTCTGATAATCGTCGAGACTCCTACCAGTTTGATTGAACGGGGGAAGAATGAGGAAGGTTTGCGAGCGCTAAAGAAGATTAGGGGCATGGAAAACGTAGAGAAAGAGTACAACCACATTTTACGCTCCACTGAGATGGCTAAAAAGATCAAAACCCCATTTAGAAACCTATTTAAGCGTTCTAGTTGGCCACAACTTTTGTGTGGCACCATTCTTCAGGTATTTCAGCAGTTGACCGGCATTAACGTTGTCATGTTCTACGCTCCTGTGTTGTTCCAAACAATGGGGTTAGGAGCAAATGCATCTCTATTGTCTACTCTTATCACTGGATCAGTTAATTCACTTTCCACAGTTGTGGCAATCTTTGGTGCTGATTATTTTGGCAGAAGAGTGTTACTGATTGAAGGTGCCATTCAAATGCTTGCAGCCCAGGGTGTGGTAGGGGGAATTCTCGCAGCATATCTCAAAGCTACAAATATGATACCAAAGTTTGCGGCAGTAATTGTGTTGGTGATGATTTGTGTGTTTGTTATGGGTTTCGCTTGGTCTTGGGGTCCATTAGGATGGTTGGTTGCTAGTGAAATATATCCACTGGAGACTAGAACGGCAGGATTTTTCTTCGCGGTTAGCACCAATATGATATTCACTTTTATTGTGGCGCAAGCTTTTCTTTCCATGCTTTGCACAATGAAATCTGCCATCTTCTTCATGTTTGCTTCCTTCGTTTTGGTTATGGGGTTGTTTGTTGTGTTCTTGCTGCCTGAAACCAAGGGAATCCCCATTGATGAGATGAACGAAAGAGTGTGGAAGAAACACTGGTTGTGGAAGAGATGCTTTGATGAGAAGGAGGATGCCAACACTGATTCAGTTAATTAAGTGTCAGTTTAGAAAGTTTGAAACTCAATATCTCTTTTCATTGTTTTTATAGGAATTTTAATTTTTAGATTTATTGTTGTAATTGGACCGAATTCTTATATTAGGCTTTAATTTTTATTTTACATTTATTACAAACCTCAATTCTAGTTTGTACCTTCTTTTTAATTATTAGAATGAATGAATATACAGTCTAGTTTAGCTTTAATTTGTCTCCAGCACTTTTATATTTTGCGATTTTAATTTTTTAAAGGAGATAGACAAGCAAGTCATAATAATATTAATATTAGGATGAGGAAAACAGAAATTCAAATTAGATTATGAGAGATGAAGCAAAGTCACAAACAGTACAGTTTTATTAATTTTATGCTGGAATTCAAAGTAGTAGATAGCCTTGCTTAACAAGTTTAACCAGTAAATTGTAGTATTTCATCAATGCTTTAATTTACAACTGCATATAGACATACAGTGCTTTGTATTGTAGGTCAGCTTACACTCTAGTCTTGATCAAATGTAGTCAACAACAACCCTATTTCGATTCATACTAATACCAATGATTCAAATGGTTTAGTCTCTGCAATTTAATTTCTGTGTCCTGTTGATAAACAATAGAATTTGGTCTCTTCTTAGTTCTGTTTGGTGGAATTTGGCCATTTGTTTCTGTAATTTAGTCTTTCCAAGCCATTTGTTTCTTTGGCAGAAAGAGACATTTATAAAATTTGCACCTCAAAAATCAAATAGAAAAGCAATCAGCACCTCAAAAAGATAATTTTAGAATAATAGTATGGTGTTGTTGGCTCAACTCCTATTAGCATTACTGCCAATACTACAGTACTTGATATTGTGGAAAGTAAATTATGTTTTTATAAATGAGTAGAAGTATACTTCTAAGTCCCAAGTTTCAAATTATGCTTTGTAGTATCTTAACCTTAACTTCTGGTGCATGCTTTGTTAGATTATTTGATTTTAATTGCCAGTTTCAGTGTTCATTTTGATGTGTTTAGGGTCATTAAATTGCAAACTACTTTAAATATTTTAAAGATGTACTTTTTAATCTTTTTATATTTATCAGTTTATCAAAAAGTTAATCTTACCAAACATTTTCAAACTTAACAGCTCATAAACTTTCAGCTCCTAACTTATACATTTTTAGCTTTCAGCTCATTTTTAATTTTTAGTTAATTTTCAGCTTTTAGCTCCTAGCTTATAGTTTTTCAGCTAGGTTTGTCCAATAGAGCCTATATTCGTGACATAGTTACGTACTTATTCTAATATAAATATATAACTCGCATCTGACTAATTAAACCGGTTAAATATAATCGAAGTATCCAACACATAAAGATGGAAAAGAAAAACGATTTTACTGTATATAAAAATATCACATTTTAAAAATAAGAAATAGCAAATGTTGAACAACTTACACAATTTATAAAAAATTATATATAAACCCTTTGTCACTTTTCTCATTTTGAGATTGCAACATTTTTACGTACGGTATTGTAGAATTCTTCATAAAACATAAGTTATATTTTTTGGATATTAAAATTGTTAAGAAAATTAAATATTGGGTATAAATAAAACCTTGTGTAGCTTAACACCCGTAGAAATTTATACAATCTTATATTGATCTTGTTTGACGACTAAAAAATTTGATATATAATATCATCTAAATAAACTTTACAAAATATTAAATTCAATTCTGGGTAGTATTTTCCAACAAGTATCCTAAAGATAGAGACATGTAAAAAATTACAGATTCCGTAGAGCTAGACAAGATTAATCACTTAAGGTGAGGATTGAAAGAACATACAATTAGTGGTTGCTTGTAGAGATTAAATGGAATCTTCAATCTAGATTCAATGGTGTCATTCATACCATGGCCCATTAACTTGTGAGCATGTCATTTCTACCTACTCTATATTTTGTAATAATTTTGCAGTGTTGCACAAAACAATTTTGTGTTTTAATTGATTAATTATTAAATTAGTTTTTAAATTTTAATCGGTTAAAATCAAACATATATAAGTCACATCTTCCACTGTAGTACCTTTAATTACAATCATTATACGCTAGACCATGCATGATTCATAGCGTAAGATAAACAATTGACATACATGTTTATTTTTAGTATCATGCAAGTTCATTTCAATTTTAATAGGTTCATTATATTTTGATACAAGTTCATTTTTAGTATACTGTAAGTTCGTTTGTAGTGTTACTATCTAAAAATAAATATATAGTACAACAAAAATGGACCCACAATATACTAAAAACGATCTTTTATTGGTAACTCATATTGCAATGTGGGTCATGGTTCATGGTATAATTTGTTGTTTAATTAGATGAATCTTTAAAAACAACACTTTTAGTGTTATTCATCAAAACAAATCTTTAAAGAATGAATTGTATCTTTTAAAGATGATATAAGCTGCCATTGTCCATTGGGTAGCAATTTCCCACAAGTCTCCAATGATCGAGACATGTAAAATGACAGATTCCTGGATTGGAGCTAGACAATTAATTAAGGTGAGCAGAAGATACTGTAAATGGAATCTTGAACCTAGATTCAATCAAAACATGGCCCATGAACTTGTGGGCATCTCATTTCTACCTATTGTATTTTAGTTGCAATGATTTTTTTTCCTCAGCCACAAGAAACTTATAATCACTGTCTAAAAGTGTATACTAAGTAAATTATATTTAATAGTTAACAAATCATACAAGAAAGATAAATTGTTTCTATATAAAACAAATTTTATCCTGCTCATCATATGATACGTTTTGATGAATTGATTGGGAAATTAAGAGACTTGACTAATTAAGACATGTTAGTCACACTTTCTAATTTTGTGTGAATCTTTTAAAACATCAACATAGTTTAGTTTACCTAGCCAATCATTTTTATTAAAAAAAAAAAACATATTAAATATCTCAAAATATCTTGCCAAATTATAATATTTCTTAGCTTTATGTATAGTTTAAATCGAATCAACGAAATATACAACATTTTTTTGTTATATGTGAAGGATCCAACATATTATTAGACACAAAAGCAAGAATACAAATTAAAAATGGGCATATATGCATGCATTATATTGCTATCAAAGACAAATACTAATAAATTTTGAAATCTATATGATATATACTGGACTCGGGTCGAAGGACATGGGGTGAAACCGATTCAACTCGACACGAGAAGAGAGATCCTAACCCCGACCTCGTGGTTGGCCAATGCATCCAACCCGAGTTGGGGAGAGGTATAAGAGGACCATGATCGGCCCGGGGCATCTAGGTCGTGCAGATTGTTACTCAAACATAATGTGTATAAATAATGAGTTTTTTGCACTTTTGGTCCCACGACTATAGTGGCACTAGCAGAATTGATCCACGACTTTTGAACCTTGCAATTTTAGTCCACGACTATTGATTTTTTTGCAAAAATGGTCCTTCCGGCCACTTTTCCGTCAAAATTCCACCGGAAATTTTTTTTATCCATTTTTAACAGGGCACTTATCTCAAAATATAAAGGAAATACATAAAACGGAAAGGTAAAAGCGATTGCATTTGAGAATCTCTGCCGCTTCTCTCGCCGGAAATCTATACAACGAAGCTTTTCCGATGTCTTCGGATGATCTCGCAAGCGTGCTGGCTCCGCCTCCAATGCTGCTGCCGGATAACCCAACTAGCCCGGGGAACGCCACGGCCGCTCCGCCGCTTACTGACAGTCTTATCTGCTCCCGGAACTCCGCCGCCTGGGGCAGTAGTATGTAGCCCAGTAATATGGTATGCAGTCAAATGTCAATTTTTTTCTTTTATTTTTTGAGATAAGTAAAATGTCAATTTTAGTCCTGTTAAAAATGGATAAAAAAAAAAATTTCCGGTGAAATTTTGACGGAAAAGTGGCCGGAAGGACCATTTTTGCAAAAAAATCAATAGTTGTGGACTAAAATTGCAAAGTTCAAAAGTCGTGGATCAATTCTGCTAGTGCCACTATAGTCGTGGGACCAAAAGTGCAAAAAACTCTATAAATAATAGTGTGCTTATCTTGTTTAGACATCTCACGTCCCATTAAAACATACTTCTTGTAACCTTCAAGCAATTAATGTGAGCCTATGATTACCTTGTCTCTCTTTCAAACATTCTCTTTGTTATTTACCTTCTTTGTACTTAAGTTAATTGAATTGTGAAGTATCTTATGATTTAACGACATAACTATTATATTACCCTTCTAAACGGAAGTTAAGGTCACAGGTTTGAGTCACATTCCAATAAAAAATGTTGACGTATCATATTGAACAAATACTATAGATATGTCAGATTGTAAAAAAAAAATGTTAATTAATTCAGAATGCTATTATTATTATTATAATTATAATAATCCAAGTTAACTTGGATCCCTAAAAGCACAAGTCGATGAGCTCCTCGTCGTGAATCCAACTTGCAAAATCAGAGCTTCGGTGAGAAGAAAAGGAACTGTAATTGGTCGTCTCTTCCCGGTTAAGAACCGAGTTAAAGTCCCCAGCCACTAGCCAAGGACCATCAATGCCTCTCTCATTATGACTAGATCCCGGCCTCCAAAGACGGCGGCGGAGGTGGTGGGCGGGGCTTCCATAGATTGGAGCAAAGAACCACGGAAGCTGGCCGGCCACCTTTACCTGCAAAAGCATAAACTGAGGGTGAGTGAAAAGGGGTGTGATCTACACCAGGTCCCTCCAAAAAATCCAGATGCCACCACTAAAGTCGACAGCTTCAAGTCGAATCCAGTCGGAGAAATCAAGCTTAGAACAAATGGCATTGGCCTGGGAAGCCTACACGGAGCACGCCCGGAGAAAGACCGTTACGGCGATGGACGTGGTTTGCGCGCTGAAGAGGCAGGGAAGGACTTTGTACGGATTTGGTGGATAGGAGCTTCATGAACTAGGGTTTGTGTTTCTTTTCCGAAATCAGTGGATTATTTATTCTTCTCCATCAGTTCTATTTTCAATTGCGCTGAAATATATTGATTAATTGAAGATAAAATTATGGAATTGTTATGCACTTTAATTTGCGCTGTGGATTGGGTGTTCTACAAGAATTGGGCATTACGATTGATTAGTGATTAATACTTATATCTGATTTAAGCTATGAAGATATTGAATATTTTCATAATCCTAATTTAACAATGACTGTAGTATTGCTCTGCGGCGTACTGCTCAAAATCCCAAATTGAGTCGAATTTGATTAAAAAAATATCCCATTTCTATACGGACATGGATGTAATACACACCTATAAAAAGGGATACTTATTCCCCATTCCATCATCCCCTCAACCCACAGCTCTCTTCATTCTCCATATAATATTGACTTTTGAGCAGTTCTTGATTGATTGTAGTTTGGTAGTAGACGAACGTACAAGATCAAATCTTCCAAATTCGTAACAATGGTCGCCCAAATGATGTCTTTAGAGAAGGGTAATGGATATGATGTTCCGGCAAAACTCACTGGACAAGTAATAATCTGCTCAATCATAGCTGCCTTTGCTGGTTTAATGTTTGGCTATGATATTGGAATTTCTGGTACGTTATGCTACTTACTCACATCCATTAATTTTTTTTGTAACTATTCATTCCTCTAGTTCCTGGTTTAACGAAATTATTTCTCTTTGATTTGTCGCAGGTGGAGTGACTTCAATGGATGAATTTTTGAAAAAATTCTTTCCTGCAGTGTACGTAAAGAAACACATGGTTCATGAAGATAATTATTGCAAATATGACAATCAGAAGCTTCAACTTTTCACATCTTCACTCTACCTTGCTGCTATCGTCGCCAGTTTCTTTGCTTCTCATTGTTGCAAGCGGTACGGTAGGAAACTAACCATTCAACTCGCTTCTATCTTTTTCATCATCGGAGTTGTTCTCAACACCACAGCCGTTAATCTTATGATGCTCATCTTCGGACGCCTCTTTCTCGGTGCTGGTGTCGGTTTTGGCAACCAGGTATTTATTTATTCTCTAATCTATACAATATATATATATATATATATATATATATATATATATATATATATATATATATATATATATATATATATATATATATATATATTATTGTTCTAAATTTGTCATCTAGCTTTGAACTATGATTTTACGATATTAATGCACTGTTTCATTCTTTCAGGCAGTGCCACTATTCATATCAGAAATTGCTCCTTCAAACAAAAGAGGACTTCTCAATGTTCTTTTTCAATTCTTGATCACAATAGGCATTTTCTTTGCCAATATTGTCAACTATTTATCTTCTAAGTATATACGCTCCAATGGCTGGAGGGTATCTCTCGGTGTAGCTGCAATTCCTTCCATTTTTCTAGCTTTGGGTTCTCTGATAATCGTCGAGACTCCTACCAGTTTGATTGAACGGGGGAAGAATGAGGAGGGTTTGCGAGCGCTAAAGAAGATTAGGGGCATGGAAAACGTAGAGAAAGAGTACAACGACATTTTACGCTCCACTGAGATGGCTAAAAAGATCAAAACCCCATTTAGAAACCTATTTAAGCGTTCTAGTTGGCCACAACTTTTGTGTGGCACCATTCTTCAGGTATTTCAGCAGTTGACCGGCATTAACGTTGTCATGTTCTACGCTCCTGTGTTGTTCCAAACAATGGGGTTAGGAGCAAATGCATCTCTATTGTCTACTCTTATCACTGGATCAGTTAATTCACTTTCCACAGTTGTGGCAATCTTTGGTGCTGATTATTTTGGCAGAAGAGTGTTACTGATTGAAGGTGCCATTCAAATGCTTGCAGCCCAGGGTGTGGTAGGGGGAATTCTCGCAGCTTATCTCAAAGCTACAAATATGATACCAAAGTTTGCGGCAGTAATTGTGTTGGTGATGATTTGTGTGTTTGTTATGGGTTTCGCTTGGTCTTGGGGTCCATTAGGATGGTTGGTTGCTAGTGAAATATATCCACTGGAGACTAGAACGGCAGGATTTTTCTTCGCGGTTAGCACCAATATGATATTCACTTTTATTGTGGCGCAAGCTTTTCTTTCCATGCTTTGCACAATGAAATCTGCCATCTTCTTCATGTTTGCTTCCTTCGTTTTGGTTATGGGGTTGTTTGTTGTGTTCTTGCTGCCTGAAACCAAGGGAATCCCCATTGATGAGATGAACGAAAGAGTGTGGAAGAAACACTGGTTGTGGAAGAGATGCTTTGATGAGAAGGAGGATGCCAACACTGATTCAGTTAATTAAGTGCCAGTAAAGAAAGTTTGAAACTCAATATCTCTTTTCATTGTTTTTATTAGGAATTTTAATTTTTAGATTTATTGTTGTAATTCGATCGAATTCTTATATTAGGCTTTAATTTTTATTTTACATTTATTACGAACCTCAATTCCAGCTTGTACCTTCTTTTTAATTATTAGAATGAATGAATATACAGTCTAGTTTAACTTGGTCTCCAGCACTTTTATATTTTGCGATTTTAATGTTTTAATTTTTTAAAGGAGGTAGACAAGCAAGTCATAATAATATTAGGATGAGGAAAACAGAAATTCAAATTATTACATTATGAAGCAAAGTCACAAGCACACAACATACAAACAGTACAGTTTTATTAATTTTATGCTGGAATTCAAAGTACTAAGATAGTCTTGCTTAACAAGTTTAACCAGAGATATCAATGGCCTTCACCTCTGGTTTCTTGGCCTCAATTTTTGGCACAGTGACTGTCAGCACTCCGTTTTCCATGCCGGCTTTCACCTCATCCATCTTCGCATTTTCCGGCAGCCGGAACCTCCTGAGGAACTTCCCACTGCTGCGCTCAATGCGATGCCACTTATCATTCTTCTCCTCTTTCTCTTTGCTCCTCTCTCCGCTGATCTGAAGAACCCTCCCATCCTCCACCTCAACTTTCACTTCCTCCTTCTTCATCCCGGGAAGATCAGCTTTGAAAATGTGAGCCTCCGAGGTCTCTTTCCAGTCAATCCTCGCCGCAGCGAATGCAGAGGTTTCGCTCGCCGGAGAAGAAGGAGAGAAGAGGCCTTCCAAGGGATCCCAGAGTTCAAGAGATAGAGGATCAAAGACGTTGCTTCGCCGGCCACCAAAGAAGCTTGGGATGAGAGACATTATTTTCTGGGAATATAATGATCAAGAAATTAAAGCAGATGAATTTCTATGGGAACTTTGATAACTTGTTGATTGATGAGAGGGGGCACCATACTTATAGTGATAGAAGATGAGTCTGGAATGTGCATGAATAATGATATGGGCGATTAATCAACAATGAAAAGAGGATTCTGGTATTCTCATGAGGATTTTTTATTATTAGTTTTGATAAAGGACAAGTTGGTTGGGATGCTTTTTCTATGAGTTTCTACCATCTTCATTACAGTAAATTGTAGTATTTCATCAATGCTTTAATTTACAACTGCATATAGACATACAGTGCTTTGTATTGTAGGTTAGCTTACACTCTAGTCTTGATCAAATGTAGTCATCAACAAGAACCCTATCTCTAGCAATTTAAAGTAGAAACAGAGCTTAGAACTGAAAGTACAAAATCGATAAGAAATCAAACAAAAAGATAATTATAAACTAAGCCGGCAAATTTTAAGATTAGGGTTCAAACCTAGCAACAGTTATACTATGGACCCGAATCTAAAGTAGATAATTTACATACTACTGAAATTATGAATATTTAGTATGTAAATTGTAAACATTTAGTATGTTAAATTATGAATATTTAAATATATAAATTGTGAATATTCAATAGGTAAATTATATATTTTTATACTTTAGGTTACCTTACAAGGTGGACCGGATTCACAGAATAATTTGCCCAAACCTAGTGCTGCCTTACATGTATTAAAATAAGACAGACTCAAAACAATGCAGAAATTTTGGTCCAGACGAGATCTTAGTTGTGCTTATCATTCCTATCCGTATGCACCATGCATGGTGCATACGGATGTCAAAACGACGTCATTTTATTAAAAAATGTGCGTCTCCCTTTTAAAAAAAATTCAGGTACGATTCCCATCAACAACATTATATTGTTCATTCATTCTGGAATTTTAGTTCATAGATTATGGAATTATAGTTCATTGATTATTGAATTATAGTTCATCGATTCTGGAATTGTAGTTCATTGATTCTGAAATTTTAGTTCATAGATTATGGAATTTTAGTTCATTCATTCTGGAATTTTTAGTTCATAGATTAGATTCTGGAATTATAGTTCATCGATTATGAAATTTTAGTTCATATGTTGTTGTTGGGAATCGAACCTGATTTTTTTTTAAGAGGAGACGCGCGTTTTATTAAAACGATGTTATTTTTGCATCCGTATGCACCATGCATGGTGCATACGGATGCACAGCATAATTTGCCCATTCCTATGGCTATGCAATTTCAAAAGTTTCACTAGCCCAATTGACCCTCATAGGCCCAAATTCAAAAGTTTCACCAGCCCAATTGATCCTCATAGGCCCATATGGCCTGTTAACAATATCAAGGACTGTTATCCCATGGACCCGTGTCCACCTTGCAAGGTAGACACAGGTCCAATACGACACCGTTCTGCAATTCGGGAATAACAGTGTTGTTAGTGGTACCATTTTTCCTCTACCAATCATATTTAAAAAAAAAAATAAAAAAATAATCAAATGAATTCAGCGACATAAAAAATTGTGAATATACTGTTATGTAACTGTGAATATAAAGTTCTGCAGTTGTGTATATAAAGTTTGGTAGGGAATATCCCGACCGACATAGCTTCACCACGACCGAGGAGCCTTTTGTCTCTTTCTCCTTGTCTTTGCAGGTAGCAGGTCGGGCTCCACGAGAAGAACCCGGTCGTAGACCGACCGGAGTTGCCCGAGCGACAGTGTCGACCACCGAGCGGTAGCCCTTTGGCGAAAGAGCTGACGAAGGACACGTGGCGGCTCTTTCCATTGACAGGCAGGGCACCCGGGAGGATGACACGTGGTGGCTACGTGGAGGACATGCCGAACGGCTGGAATCCTGTCCCCGGCATAGCGGCTATAAATACCCACAGTAGCTACAATGTAAAGGACTTTTGGACGATCGATAGGTTGTTGTTAGAGAATCCCGACCGCAGTCAGTCGGTACTCAGAGCAGCCAAGTAGATTGTACTTAGGGCCTTTACCGGGATCAATAAAGATTTTACTTGCTTTAATTGGTCTCGTGTTATAGGCAAAAATATCGGCATACTCCCGGAGCACGGCCAGAACTTCCGCTCGGAGCTCGGGAGTGAGGGCTCGGCCAATCTTAATCTTCCTGTCAGGGCGGCCCTCGGACAGGGGAACTTCTTCTATCTCCTCGGAAGGTTCAGGCTGCTCCTTCCGTTCCTTAGCCTCCTCCTTGGCTATGGTGTTCACCCGGGAAGATGGACCGGAATCACGTCGATTAACCGCTCGGGTGTAACACTTCCGGGCGGATTGGACATCGCCACGGACCACGCCGACCCCGTTGGGGGTGGGGAATTTCATGCATAGGTGAGGCATAGAAATTATCCCACCGATCTTCATAATGGCGGGTCGGCCCAAGATAATGTTGTGGACGCAATGGAGGTTGACCACAACAAATTCCAGCTCCGTTTGGATCGACTTTGGAGGCGTGCCGATCTCGACCGGGAGCGTTATTTTTCCCTCGGGGTAGATAAGAGCCCCGGTAAATCCTGACAGTGGTACACCGACCGGAGTCAGCTCCTTCCTGTCGAGGCCAAGCTTTTCAAACACGTCCAAGTATAGGACGTTCACGCTACTGCCCGTATCAACCATAACCCTCTGGACATCCGTCCCCTTAACGTCGATCGTGACCACGAGCGCCTCCATGCCATGGTCGCTGCTGCTAGGTTGGTCCTCAAGGGTGAAGGTTATGGGCTCCATCTTCTGCCTCTTCCCGGTCTCCCGGGAATCCACTACTGCGACCGGGCAATTAGTCCGCGGTCGGGAAGCATCTTCCAGCCCACCAAAAATGACGTGGATGGTAGGCTTTCCGGACGGGCGGCTACCGGACGGAGGGTCAGGGTCCCGTCGGTCATCGTGACGATCGTCCCTTCGATCGTCTCTTCGGTCCTGACCCGACCGATCGGAGCGGTGATGAGAACGCCTATGGTCTCTCCGATCGGTATTTCTCTTGCTGTCCTCTCTCTTCCCCACGCACTTGTCCAATTTTCCCAAATTGAGCAAATCTTCCAATAATTGGCGCAAGTGGGTACACTCCTCGGTGTCATGCCCGGCGCATCGATGGTAAGCGCAATGCTTACTCTTGTCAGGGCCGTCTCGATCGGGATGGGGAAGTTTGATGAGATTGCAGGACTGGGCGTATTGCATGGCCTCCGCTGCGGATCGGTTCAAGGCCGTAAACTCGCCATGCCTGGTGCGGGGTCGGGTATTGTCATCTCCCGATCGATGTTCCGCCCGGCCAGCCGGTTTACGAGACGAAGAGCCGACCTCCTGCAAGCGCTTGACGGCATTCGCCTCACCTGCGTTGGCGTAATCAGTGACCCTTCGTAGGGCCTCCTCATAGGTGGTCGGGGGGTGGAGGATAAAATCCTGGTATAGATGCCCCGCCCGGAGGGAGATGTGAAGCATGTGAGTGGCGGTCGCATCGTCCATAGGCTCGACCTCCCCGACCGCCGCTTTCCACTTGATGAGGAAGTCGGTCAAGCTTTCCCCTTCGAGCTGCTTGGCCTTTTCGAGGTACATATAGGACTTCCTCACTACTTTGGAAGTAATGAACTTCCGTACAAACTTGATCGTCAGGGTCTCAAATTTGTCGATTGACCCCGGCTGCAGGGTTCGGAACCATTCTGCCGCCCGACCGGTAAGCGTTGAGTAGAAGGCCCTGCACATCACGGCGTCTGAAACGCCCTTCAGCATCATATTGCTGAAGAAATCATTCACGTGAGCCTCCGGGTCTGTCCGACCGTCGTAACTCTTCTCTCCCGAGACCTTTAAGTCGAGCGGGTAAGGCTGAGCCATTACCGCTGCTGTGAAAGGCGTTTGGTGTAGGGTCGATCGGTCGGCCGGGGGTGCTGTAGGATACGCACTCCTGAGCTGCGCAACTTCCGCCTGGAGGTTGTAGAGCAATCCTCGGGTTTCGTTGAGCTCGGCGGCTTGAACGGCTTGGGCTGTATCCCGAGCGCGTCGTCGTCGGTGAGATCTCGACCCGCTATACCCGGATGAAGCCTCATGGCTAGCTTCCTGCATTTGTACGTCCTCTTGCCCGCGATTCGGGTCTTGGGGTCCCAGACGCTGGCGCATCTCTGGTCGGAGACGATCGAAAGCTACCGCTCGGGCAACCTCTTCAGGGTCCTCCGCTTGAACGGCCTGAGCTGGTGCCTCCATCGCATCAGCACCCCCCGACCCCAACCGCGAATGAGCCGAGCGTCGAGCCCGGGAAGTGGACTGACGCTGCGGCTCTACTTGTGCGGTCGGCTGTACTGGAGGGGCGGCGGCTGGAGCTGTATAAGCTGGCGTATATGGTGGATAACCAACCGGGGAAGTGTAGCACATCGGTTGGCCTGGCCAATACCCGTACGGTGGAGGTGGGACCGGGTACGGATACTGGGCGGGATACATCATCGGCGGCTGCTGGTATGGCAGACCGGGTGGTGGGTATCCCGGTTGTATGTAATTCACCGGCTGCTGGGCGGCCGGGTATGTATTCGACGGATGTGGTGGTGAGAGATTGAGGTTGAGGTCCATGGTTTGACCCTGCTGTTGGGTAGCATAGTGGTCGGAGGAGCTCGCCGCATCCGCCTGGTCGTCGGCGAAGTTGTTGTGTGCCCACGGATACATGTCGATATGGTGATCGGGTGCTCGTCAAGACGTTGGTTTCTTGCACGGGTCCCCACAGACGGCGCCAAAATGATACTGCTAATTCTACGTAAGCAATATAAAATAACACGAGACCAATTAAAGCAAGTAAAATCTTTATTGATCCCGGTAAAGGCCCTAAGTACAATCTACTTGGCTGCTCTGAGTACCGACTGACTGCGGTCGGGATTCTCTAACAACAACCTATCGATCGTCCAAAAGTCCTTTACATTGTAGCTACTGTGGGTATTTATAGCCGCTACGCCGGGGACAGGATTCCAGCCGTTCGGCATGTCCTCCACGTAGCCACCACGTGTCATCCTCCCGGGTGCCCTGCCTGTCAATGGAAAGAGCCGCCACGTGTCCTTCGTCAACTCTTTCGCCAAAGGGCTACCGCTCGGTGGTCGACACTGTCGCTCGGGCAACTCCGGTCGGTCTACGACCGGGTTCTTCTCGTGGAGCCCGACCTGCTACCTGCAAAGACAAGGAGAAAAAGACAAAAGGCTCCTCGGTCGTGGTGAAGCTATGTCGGTCGTGCAGAAGACACGACACCTTTCCTCCGATCGCCGCGAGTTTGTAAGAGAAGAAGTCAAAAAGATGGCGGCGATCGAGCACATCCGTCCGGTGGTCTATCCTGAGTGGGTGGCAAATATTGTTCTTGTTCCTAAGCCCCCAGCATGGAGGATGTGCATAGACTTTACGGACCTCAACAAAGCCTGTCCGCTCGACCCGTATCCTCTACCGAGCATTCATCAGATGGTCGACGAGACGGCCGGGGCCGAGTTAATGAGCTTCATGGATGCCTTCAAGGGGTACCATCAGATCATGATGCACCATGAAGACGAGAGCAAGACAGCCTTCGTAACCCTGGACGGGCTGTATTGTTACCGAGTGATGCCGTTCGGTCTGCGGAACGCAGGAGCCACCTACCAGAGGATGGTCAACATGCTCTTTGCTGATCTGCTGGGCCGAACGATGGAAGCTTACATCGACGATATGTTTGTCAAGAGTCGGGACCGATCCGACCACACTCGGGACCTTCGGGAGTGCTTCCAGATCATGAGGAAGTACCAGTTGC